AAATGAGAAATCGGTTTATTAGGCCTACACTGAGGATGGATTGGTAACGCGACGTTTTCAAAATAATTGTAAAAAGAATGCCTAAACAACAAAGAAAATAAAGACATGTAAACAGAATCTTAATCTAAACACAAATTTAAAAAATCGAAATTCGATTAAATGAGGACAAAATATTAGCAAGATGACCTAGAAGGATAGGCGTATTCTGCTTCATCGACGACAGCCGCCGTATAGAGATTAGATCAATGACACTATTGTGAATGCTACCATTAAACTTCCAAATAATCTTCATAAACCTTATCTCTCGAATCCTAGTGCTGTGAGTTTATGAACAAAGCTTTGTCATTTCAACGCCAATCGGATAAGAAATAGTCTATTGTATATGGTAATTTTCGTTTAATCCAGTATTTCGATCGCAAGTGTAACTGGGAAATGCATACCGATAACTGATGTTCCGTATTATCAATGTTAAAAACAATGTATTCACATGACAAGACGCTTAAAGATGTTGGGTTTTGTTTAAAGTTGTTATTCCATTAAACAGTATAACCCTGTTGTTAGGATATCGGATGAAGAGGTACTTACCTGAATTACAACAAGGGATGACCACTGTGTGTTCACTGGTTCAGTGCAGATTATATAATTAAATTCCTGCTTGAGCAGCGAGGTCACAGCTGACAATGTTTCCTAAAACACTACAAGTTAACGCTCTTTTATGTATCTGCACACTACGACAAGAAACGACAAAACAATGAATATGAATGAAAAAAATCATCCTTACAGAGAGGGTGACTTTGTATTTATTTATGAAATTAAAAACATATCTTACAGTTACATAAACCATAAAATGAACAAAAGATTATTTTTCAGTAGTTATAATAAATAACCAATGTGGGGTTAACAAAAAGAACGCCACAAAGACATGATTGTCTTCAAATTGTCTTCCCCACAAAGGCGACCTATGAATAATAAAGTTGTGGAAATACAAGGCTGGAAACCCATACAAAACTACCCAAGCCACATAGTTATCTATTGATTGAATATGCACATTGGCAACAAACAAAAACATTGGACCTGGCCCATGCAAGATCCAACAAGATACTTATAAGTATACAAAAATGAACTTAATCCAATGAATATGAAGACACTTGATCTACATATACCAGACCAAACTGGTTGATGCTTCACATTTACAAAGAATTTACTTAACTAAACATTCCATGTGAAAATGAAAAGAAAAAATACCAATAGAAAAATAGTTAAAAACTGAAAACACAGATCGGTCCAAGCAGGGTCTGAAATTATATATCTTCAGCACCAAAATGATGCACATGGACACAACGAACATGACCGACTAACAGGAACCTGAGCCAGAGGGCTAATGGCCATAAATCGGTGTGACAGAACTTGCCCAAGCAAGCTCTGTTAAAACGTGTATAATCAAAATATATAGCTGCAAAAAGAAAAGCTCTGAAAAAATATGCACCATAAAAACAAGATACATATATACACATTACAAGTTAAACAAGATGATTCAAAATAAACGGCCGCAAAGGCAGTGCACAACAAGTGCACCACACAGTCCATAACACACCACGGCAAAAGTTATAAATGTGAGCACCTCAAATATCAGGTGACAGAACTGGCCTTAGCAAGCTCTGACAACTAAAATTGTGTCCGGAATATAAAACAATAATGTCACCGTACGCAAAGTTTACCCAGCACAAAAAGAGCATCCATGTAAGAAATGGGCGTATCCCAAATATTGAAACGCAGTAAGTTTGTCAAACATACACTTAACACCATGTCGACTGGCAGGTGGGTCCGTTAAAAATAACAATATTTAGGCTTTAAAGAGGAACTAGGCCTATTAAAAAGCTACTAAAAGATAACCAAACGGCCCAAGCAATCCAGTTATGGAGCAGCTGACCTTATGTAATTTCTGAAAGCATTTGAGAACCATCTACCACAAGAACGAAACTGAGAGTCTGACATGCCTCTCTGTGACCAATATGATGCCGCCCCAATATGAAAACTGTGGCTTTTGTACACAGAACTGTCCAAGCCTGCGAATGCCAAACAGGACTTTAACATACGGTCAAAGTAAGCACGTGGCACAGGTTTCTGATTCAGTAGTAAAAAGACAGGACCCCCCCCCCCCTTGCCTCTATATGTGAGGTAAGTATTGAGTGCAGTTACCGCAGAGAAAACCACAGGGCCATGACTAAATGTAATAGCATGACGTTTCTTCTGTAGGTTATGTGTAAAATTATAAAAATCCACCTGAACAGTAGGTGGAGTCTGTAATCTTGAGAACGTGAGATGTTGAAACTGAACAAGATTAACAGTATTTTCTGTTGTTGCAATCTCACCAAATTGAGCAAATGTACTAAAAGCAAAAAGAAACATTGCTTGAAACAAAGCATTTTCAAATGCAATCTGAGCAACATGCTGTAGAGCCTTAAGTATCGTGTTCAACACTTCAACCGTAATTGGTAGTCTCATATCCACTGAAGAACTTAATCTATAACAACTTGCAACCAATTTCTTCACTAAGAAAGACTCTGTAGGGTCAAAATTGTGTAGAAGCTTATGTACATATGCTACTTCTGACAAATATGTTGAAATAATCTTAGGTGAACATTGTTTATGATGCAGATGTGCAACAAATAGAGCAATATGACAAGGAGAGACTCAAGCACTCCCTGATAAAAAAAATCCCTGTATTATAGCAACTGGTCAAAAAGGTTCCAAGCCCTAGTATAAATTGCTTTACTGGAAGGAGCTAGAGACGACGCTAAAAGTTCTTCAATGTGTTGGAAAAGGCCTATGGAAGGAACGCTTCTGGTACAAACACAGGTTCTCTCTGAGCAGATGGTGCAAGGACCCTGAAAGCTTCCATCTGCAAGCGAGAGAGAGAGTCAGCCTGAACATTTTTGACACCCGGAATATGCTTCGCTCGAAAGTTAATATCAAGGCGTATGAAATGCAAAACCAACCATCGCACCATATGCAATAATGTTGGATCCTTGCTGGTTTGCTTATTTATGACAGGCACCAGAGCCTCATTATCTGTAAAGAATAAGATACTGTGGTTTTTCCAAAGTGGACCCCAAACTTTCAAGGCTAGCAAATTGGGGAAAAATCCAAAATAGAAATGTGATATACTTTCCACTCAGCAGGAAAGGAACCAGTAAACCACTGCTCCTTAAAAATAGCACCATAACCTAGAGTACTAGCAGCATCTCTATGCAGCCGCAAAGTATCATTTGAGACAAATTGTTCCTGTATAAAAAAAAAATCATTAAAATGATATCAGCTTCATCGATTCATCTTTAAGGAACCGATGCCCTCCGGATTTTGTGTACAATGGCACAAAGCAGTACTGAGGCATTTGATGATTGGTTTACTGTTAACGTATTTATCTTCTTCGGACTTTAACTTTCGGCTATCACTGACAATACACCAGCGCCACCTATGTTCTAAAAATAGCCGGGTACGCTCCATCAGATGACCGATGGCCCTCTAATTCAAGGAACAGAACTCTTAGTTATTTTTAAAAATAAAATCAAGGGAAATAATTCCTATATCGATTGAACAAAAAAAATCGACAATAAAAGTATCTTGTATAGTGTTTCCGATACATAAATTAAGCTAATGCCTTAGTTGCCTTTTATGTAATAAAAAACAACAATGTCTATAATGGTGTCATCTTACGTAATTCATATTGAATGATCGATTCATAGATCGCTTGACAACTGTGTATACAATTCTTAAAGCAACCCTTTGGGCTGTATATTGATATGAATGTATATAATATCGTCAAATTGTATTTTTGTCTAAATATCGTGTCATGCTCGCTCACCATGTAAAAGGGACACAACTCGCTGATTCTTTGTCACATATTGTGTACAAATGTGTATATCTCATTGACTTCTCTATGGACGTCCCAGTATGAACAGCCATTACAGTTATCGTATTTCATTACAGTCTTCAGCATTTTATAGAAAACCTGGGGGGAAGGGAAATATATTAAAATGTATACAATTAGATTGCAGGTGGTAGACACTGCTAGCGGACTATTACTAATCTCCGAGGTTTCCGTGACCTACATGCCACGTTTTGAATTTATTCATTCAGATGGTGGCACGATTCAGAATATAAATATGTTTTTGTCGTTCTTATTATTTATCACACATATGAAATTTACGAAATTTATTTAATCATGACCACTATTTTCTTCTGTTGCCCCCTAGGTTTGAGATTTGAACCATTAGCATCACTTACAGGTACTAGAAGTACGAAACAGCTGTATGTTACAATTTTATTGTTTGTCTCTTCTGTGTCTTATTTAAATTACAACTTAAAGGTGTTATTCACTTGTGTGTCTTTTGGGTAATTCTCTAATAGTTTCCGGGGCTGTTTCAGGGAAATGTTTTTAGAAAATGGAAGCACGTGTCACGGAACAGAGAACACATAAACGCTGGATAGCAATGAACAAGAACAACAAAAAACGAATGACTGACAAAAGCAAGAAGTGTTCTAAAGGGAAAAAATCAAAATCCAAAGGCATGACATCGGTAACCAAGAACGGGTGGAATGGAACATAAACATTTTGAGGGGACACTTATTTAGTTTAATTGTCATAGTAGAGACACACACAAACATATGGCCATCCGATAATAGAAATAAAACCTTCATGGTGTACCATTAACCACGGTTACTTCAAGGCGCAGAAACGATAATCATATAGCTTGATAAACATTGGCCTGAACAAACTATTATACAATCGTATATCATATAACTGCATGTACAATGTACCTGTGTATGAAATAATTATCTGTCATACACACCTGAAGCAATCACATTAACACCGTTTTATAGTAGTATCACAATGGTGTGTATTGGCCCGTTATAACTTGTGTCTACCTTTAATTGTCCTTACCAACATTTAACGTACTTAGCGTGTCTACAGAACGTTACAGTCGCTATATTTCAAAATGAAGAATAATAAACAAAAACAAAACAAGAAGAAGCAACCAGATAAAAAAGAGGAAAAGAAAGAAAACGAACAGAAGGAGGAAGAGGAGGAGAAACCTAATGTCGTTACGTCTTTGATAAAGGAAGGCAGTTTAATCTTAGAACTGATAACTTTGCGAGACGATGGAACGCTCCATGCTGGAGATTTAGTCAAAGTTTCTGTAAAATTACAGCTAACCAAACCTTTATCAGTAAAAGGTAAGTGATTGTCACGTGTTCTGTAATGTAACAGCTCACCAAACCTTTATCAGTGTAAGGTAAGTAAGTGTCGTGTGTTCTGTAATATAATAGTTCACCAAACCTTTATCAGTATCAGGTAAGTGACTTTTAAGTGTTCTGTAAAGTTATAGCTCACTAAACCTTTATCGTTTCTTTCAGTCGCCTTCTAGGCTTTAGATTCGTGGCCTTAGCATTACTGAAGAATACGAAAAACAGCTCTTTAATGCAGTTTAATTTATTGTTTGGCTATGCTGTATCTAACTTGGCATCAAAACCTGTTGTTCATTCATCACTTTTAAAATCTCGACAAAAGAGTAAAAGGTGAGTAACTATAAAATTCAAGCTCATCAAACTTATATCAGTGAGAGATAAGTGACTGTCAAATGATTTGTTGTATAACAGCTCAACAAACTTATAGCTGTGAAGGTTTATGAAGGCATATAATTTTATAAATTACAGTTTGCGAAACCTGTAGCAGTGAATAATGGATGGTATTAAGCCTAATGGCTGAACACTTACTTATACATTCATATTTTCATTAACATGTACTTAATTATAAAGTTTCATAACTAGTTATATCAAAGGTGTTCCGAAACAAATGTTAGTAAAAACGCTATGCATCTGTAACATTTCAATAAAAATCAGTTCCGAATGCAAGGATGTAGCAAACTCTCGGCGTGACAGTCCAACAGGTCAGCCATTGTGTGATGGTAACTAGGATGTACAGGACAAACCGATCAAATGTTGGTGTGATAAATACATGTAGATATATATACCCCTTTAAGATAAAGCTACCTCTTTACTCCACAAGTGTTTGTTATTGATAAAATGATTATTATATCGTCACAAGAAGGAAATATTAACAGGACAATTGTGTTGTCACAATCAACGAGCCTTAGTATCTTCTTTCAAGGCATAATTCTTTAATTTGGCGGATTCAGTTCGATCAAAACGGTACTTTTTGTCGTCAGAAAATAAATCATATCAATTTTCATAATAAAATGTAAAATGTCAAAGAAAAAATAAAACAAAGCAGAGAAATTAAAAGAAAATTGATGGTTTTGCAGAATTCAAGATACATCTACGAGGGTATATAAAGACACGCTGGACGGATACTGTCGGGCCAAAGAAAAAATTAACATATGGAGTTCACAAAGACGTAGTGAAACTGGAGGAAGACATCAAAAGTTGTAAGAACAATATTCTTAAATCGTCTATTGTATGAAATGTCAATCAGTTTCGTGGTCAATGTGGTGTTTTCCGAAGGTTTCTTTGCATTAGTATAAATGATTAATTTCTGTACTTGACGTTGTTCAAAATTATCCAATTGGTGGAATTTACGAAATTCATTAAATCATGGGGCTAGTGCACCGATCTATCTAGTTAAAGACTTTTATTTCATTTATTTTGGATTTTCCCCTGTCGCCTCCTAAGTTTCAGATTTTAGGCCCTTAGCATCACTAACGAATCCTAGAATATGATGCATTTCAAATAATTGTTTAACGCTACTATATCTAACTCCCAGTTATAGCATAGTAGATGAAACAATATTGTTTACTCGTTCTGACGGAAGGATTTATTTAATTTCCGCTGTCTAAAAAAGTAATTGATATATAAATTGATATCAAGACAAAAAGAGACATATTTAAATCAATTAGAACTGGCCAGAATACGGAAAGACGTCATTCAATTAATTGTTTTCGTAGAGTTTTTGTTAAATAAAAAAACATAATATATAAAATATTACAATGTTTGACACACCTTATCTACAGGTGCAATGCTGAAACAAGAAGAATATCGATTGTTATAGATGAAAATTAATACTTATTAGTGGTAATTTTTATATTTCAGCGAATCTGAAACCTTCTCAAGACGGCTCGCTAACATTTGGTCAAGGGTTCTATTTCCTGCCTGTAAAATTCGATCTCCCTCCTGACGTTATGCCGTCGTTTGAGAGCAACAGAGGTTTCGTCCGTTATTACCTGTCTGTTAGAGGTATCGTGGAGGATAAACCTATACTATTTCACCTTCAGAAGATCAAAGTCATCGTTCCTTTAGATCTTAGCAAGGATCCGCTGAATATGGTAGGTAAACATACACATATATATAAGACCTTAAATGTGTTTTTATTTCATAAAATCTCAAACGAAATGAAATGCGATACAATTTATGGCAAATGTGGAGGTCAGATATTGTGTGCGCCATTTTTAATTCATGACGTCATATTTATTATTTGTGTTATGATTTCACGATCGATTTCATTGCTCCAAGGTATATGACGTTTGTGACCTATGAAATTTGCAAATGCACTAGGTAACTGGCGGATTATGTGTTACCACTGTATTTAGAAAGAACTGTCTCAATGAGATATAGAATGGAAGAACTTATAATATAAGTTTATACATACATTTGTTTTGGAAATTATTAATCTTCTCTCTGGCTCTATTGAAATTGCCAATTATTACTTTCCTTTCATCAGTAGTTGTTCTCGAGAGAAATCAACAAGTAGCCACCATCTTTGTGTATTGTTAAGGTATAGGAACATTAAGATCACTCACATTAAAAAGCTGACAATGGTAGATACGGAAATATGATCCACATATATCTCAAACCAACAACCAGGTAGAGCAGGAATTAGTGAACGGGGGAAAACTATCGGTTATAATGTCACGAACCCGCAATCAAGAAAAGGAGAAGAGACTTAAGGACACGGATGGTTCAAGTGTTGTGTTTTGACACAAATGAAGTGTAGTTACAAGTACACGTGCAAGTAATTGGGCCGATATGGAATGTAATTTGACATGGCCGTTATGTGTATTAAGTGATATGATTTGTAATTATGATAGAAAGCATGGTGTTAAACACGTGATCAATTTGGGAACACCCATCATTAGTGTTACATAAACGTGATGTAATTGCTCAAAAACGTGAGCTATTGTATAGGGCAGATGTGCGCCTTTTATTTCAGTATCTATTTGCTGTATCTACCTATTTTGGGGAGGGATTTTTTTAATTCATTATTTTGCTTTAATTCTAAATTTGCTTTTCACTAAACTTGGTCAGAATCTGAGACAGAAATGCATCTAAGAGACCAACCATCAACAGAAGATACGTATCAAAAATCTTTGTAAAGATTACTGGGACTTCTTTAACTTTTTGTTTATTTTGCAAGATCCCGTTACGGTTTATAGAGCATCAGGATGTAGTTGCATGTTGTTGTTCTGCCGGAAAGCTGAAAGGAAGATTTCAAGTGGACAGGAGGGCCTACATCCCTGGCGAGTTTATCACATTGACGGCTATGATCACAAATCACACCAAAAAACAGATGAAATACACGAAATGCTCACTGACTCTGGTAAGTACATAGACAAACACGACAATACTATAGCATATAGGTTTGTATTGATAAAATTCAACACATGACAAATATAGGAAATAACGACATATAGATGTAGTGGCACGTTCTCAAAAGAGAGAGAGATAAACAACTACGGAACCACCAGGTATACTGACGAGTATCAAACACGTCCAACTTCATACCACACTACAGAACCACCAGGTATACTGACGAGTATCAAACACGTCCAACTTCATACCACACTACAGAACCACCAGGTATACTGACGAGTATCAAACACATAACTTCATACCACACTACGGAACCACCAGGTATACTGACGAGTATCAAACACGTCCAACTTTATACCACACTAAAGAACCACCAGGTATACTGACGAGTATCAAACACGTCCAACTTTATACCACACTAAAGAACCACCAGGTATACTGACGAGTATCAAACACATAACTTCATACCACACTACGGAACCACCAGGTATACTGACGAGTATCAAACACATCTAACTTCACACCACACTACAGAACCACCAGGTATACAGAAGTATCGAACATATTTAGTTATTACCGTATCAATACAATAATATACATGTATTGATGATAATAAACTACAGTCGCCATTAATTTAGATAAGATAATTGCCCAGATATAAAATGGAGATAAATCACTTTCCATACAACCGCTATTTAAAAAGGTGAAATTTCAAATCTTTGACAGAAAATGACTTACATAAAAGACAATTGGACGCAGAAGTGTAAAAAGACAGTTTTGGCATTCCAAAAGCATGGTCCCACAAAAGCAGGCGAGATCGATTACTGGGAGGACGTCCAGCTGAAAATACCAAGTCACATGCCACCAGCCCTGCTCAACTGTAAATATATACAGGTCAGGTACATACTGAAGGTAAGCTGTATATGTAGCATATATATTCCAATACTAACATATGGCAGTCAAAGATATTGTCGTTAAAGTAATAATGCGATTGCCTGTCCTTGCTTTTACAGATTGCATTTAAACAACGCTGTTATTTCCATTTTTAAATTCAGATTGAAACAGAAATGGCGTGGTCATTCCCATCAAAACATACCCTGTTCAACATTGTCTTACCAGTGGGACATATATCTGCTAAACCGCCTGAGGAAAACGAGGAGAATGAAGGAGAGGGTGACGGAGACAACAGTAAAGGAAAAGTAGACGAACTGATTGAACTTGAGGTTTAGTGGGATTCGTTTAAAATTCGATGTAGAAAGTATCGTCACGTGGTCATTGCGTGCCTTTAGTACAAATCAGTGGTACAGCTGGCCACAACAATGAAATCGAACATATCTGGTATACACCAACAGAAAAAGACTGCCAAAAGTCAAGAACAGTATTCTTACAGCAGATGCCAGCATTCAGATTGGCACGCATAACCTCAGTTGGTCTACAGCCCCCGGGCACCTTGCTAGGCTAGGATTATCGTATACCTCGGGAACTGATAATTTCCATTCCATAATTGTAGAGTAACAGTCAATCACAGGAACTGATTACAACACAACCAAAAAGTTGCGGTCGACCTCAAGGACTGACGTTCCTCCCGTTACAATACAAGGTTTTGGTCACACTCACCTACCGATGATCCTCCGGTCACCAGAGTTCACCAGTCACCTTGGGTTATGATCATTCTCAGCATTGTAGATCTGTAATGCTTTATATAATGCTCAGAGAGTATGCCTTTAAGTGATTTATTTTTTCATATGTAACAACAAGGTCAACGTAGTTAACGGATGTACTGTTTGAGGTAAATCAACCTATATGAAATGATCATTAAAGTTAATGCTGATATATACTTATTTATAACTATTGAAGTTGTTTATATCAAGTATGGATGTAACTATCAGAATTTCATATATCGTGATCAAGAAGACACACGGGGACCAATACTTAATTCATCTTCCGATCGAACCGTACTTTACGCCAGATTGGGCGTTGTACGAACCTCACTCAAAAGATGTGAAACGATTGTCACAGAAGAACATGACTAGAAGCAAGAGCAAAGTTACATCCATATTGCCATGAAAACATGTGGATATCCTGATTGGGAAATCCAAAAAGTTAACAACGATGTTAATAAATGCAAAAGACAAAGAGACGAAGCATCAAGGAAAAGAACAAAACTAAAGAACAGGTAGTCATCCTTTATATCAAAGGCCTGTCAGAGACAATTCAGAGGATTAGTCGTGGTCATGGTCTTGCAACGGCCATGAAAACTAACAAGACTCTCCGAAAAAGTCTCAAAGTCCAACTCCTGTTGTCAGTACAGTGTTATATTCCGTACTGTTGTCAGTACGGTGTTGTATCCCGAACTGTTGTCAGTACAGTGTTGTGTCCCGTACTGTTGTCAGTACAGTGTTGTATCCCGTACTGTTGTCAGTACAGTGTTGTGTCCCGTACTGTCGTCAGTACAGTGGTGTATCCCGTACTATCGTCAGTACAGTGTTGTATCCCGTACTGTTGTCAGTACAGTGTTGTATCCCGTACTGTTGTCAGTGTTGTATCCCGTGCTGTTGTCAGTACAGTGTTGTATCCCGTACTGTTGTCGGTACAGTGTTGTATCCCGTACTGTTATCAGTGTTGTATCCCGTGCTGTTGTCAGTACAGTGTTGTATCCCGTACGGTGTTGTTTTCCGTACTGTTGTCAGTACGGTGTTGTATCCCGTACTGTTGTCAGTGTTGTATCCCGTACTGTTGTCAGTACAGTGTTGTATCCCGTACTGTTGTCAGCACAGTGTTGTATCCCGTACTGTTGTCAGTGTTGTACGGTGTTGTTTTCCGTACTGTTGTCAGTACAGTGTTGTATCCCGTACTGTTGTCAGTGTTGTATCCCGTACTACAGTTGTATCCCGTACTGTTGACAGTACAGTGTTGTATCCCGTACTGTTGTCAGTGTTGTATCCCGTACTGTTGTCAGTACAGTGTTGTATACCGTACTGTTGTCAGTACAGTGTTGTATCCCGTACCGTTACTATGATATTAATTCTGTTGTCAGAAAGCTGTGAATTGTTGAATTCTACATTGTCACTTACTGTAGACATTTGATTTGTCATTAAATTGTGATTTCCAGGATTGTTATGATGGTAAATCTTCAGTAGTCGTCATGTTTTATGTTTGTGTAATGTTTATTTGGTAACTCTACCATGTACCTGACACGTGATATGCAAATAAAATCTTCCGAACAAATGTTCTTACAGCTTTGTACCTTAGATATCCATGTGTAACGTAGTGTTATCTGACTTATTTTATATATCATTATGTTAGTGTAGAAATCATTTCATTTAAATTAATGGTTATTAATAGTGTTTCCAGTGATGAAAGATACGATAAAATGGCTTTGATACTTTGGTGCTGAGTGGGCGACACGAATGAAGATACCAAATTAAAACCAATTCACGTGAAATACGTTATTTGTTTTATGTTTATCACATTTTTATCACAAAATATTTCGATGATTAGATAAAGAATGAAACCAAGGAAACCTTGTTATTTGACACACTGTAGACCTTGTGTATGTCTAAACATACGGTTTACTGATGTTACAATGCTAGGCAAATATTTATAGTTTCAGTCTATGATATAATTGTGAGCATGTCAAATATGTTGTATTATCATAGATATGGTTGGATTTTAAAAAGAAACACTTGTGATGTTTGTATGTTGCATACACACATTAATTCAAAGTAACGTTTTCCTTTTAAACAATTGATGTTGTTATTATATTACAGCGTTTCTGGTCTCCTTAAGATTTTGATAAAGAACAATCTGTTTTCTTTGGGTTTTTTTTTTTATTAAATAATGATGGGAAATACCGATAAATTTTTAAACAGGTGAACAAGTCTTCAGTATTCACCCTGGTAAACACGTCCTTAGTATTCACCCTCGTGAACAAGTACTTAGTATTCACCCTGGAGAACAAGTACTTAGTATTCACCCTGATGAACAAGTCCTTTGTATTCACCCTGGTGAACAAGTCCTTAGTATTCACCGTGGTGAACAAGTACTTAGTATTCACCCTGGAGAACAAGTCCTTGTATTCACTCTGAGGAACAAGTCCTTGTATTCACCCTGGTGAACAAGTTCTTAGTATTCACCCTGATGAACAAGTCCTTTGTATTCAAGTCCTGATTTTTCACACTGGTGAAATAGTCCTGATTGATATTCATCCAAACTTACAGCTGACGGACACAGGGTTTTAAAAGACGCAGGTTGATGAAAATTATGGGGTTAGTTTTAAGGGTCGTCATAGCTAATATTCTGTTTGTGCGATATGAAGCTGCGTGTGTTGAAACACAACTTCCATGAAACTTTTGCAAAATACGAAAAAAAAATACAAACTTGTTAGCGTCTCCTGCTTCGTCTACGACACCCGCCATGTAAACCTAGGTCAACCCAAGTAAGTAATGTCACGTTCCCAAAATGAGAACAAGGTATACAACAACGGAACCAACAGACAAACTTACGATCATCAAAAATGTACACCTTCATATCGCATAAGTATTAAACTAGATTCAGTAAGACTACGCGAGAACTGCGGAAGCAAACCATCCATACTTGTTATGCTTCGATGACAACATGTAACAAGCGTGGTACTTCTTTGGCTACCGTGACTGACTAATGTGGTACATTATGTTACCGTGACTACAGAGTGTGGTACGTTTGTTACCGTGATTAAAAAGTGTGGTACATTATGATGTCGTGATTAAAAAGTGTGGTACATTATGTTGCCATGACTACCTGGTGTGGTACATTATGTTGCCATGACTACTTGGTGTGGTACATTATGTTGCCATGACTACTTGGTGTGGTACGTTTGTTACCGTGATTAAAAAGTGTGGTACATTACGTTGCCGTGACTACCTAGTGTGGTAAGTTTTGTTACCGTGACTACAGAGTGTGGTACATAATGTTGCCGTGACTACCTAGTGTGGTAAGTTTTGTTACCGTGACTACAGAGTGTGGTACATTATGTTGCCGTGACTACCAAGTGTGGTACATTATGTTACCGTGACTACCTGGTGTGGTACATTATGTTGCCGTGACTACCTGGTGTGGTAAGTTTTGTTACCGTGACTACCTGGTGTGGTAAGTTTTGTTACCATGACTAGCTAGTGTGGTACATTGTGTTGCCGTGACTACCTAGTGTGGTACATTATGTTGCCGTGACTACCTAGTGTGGTAAGTTTTGTTACCGTGACTACAGAGTGTGGTACGTTTTTCACCATGACTACAGAGTATGGTACGTTTTGTTACCGTGACTACAGAGTATGGTACGTTTTGTTACCGTGACTACCTGGTGTGGTACGTTTTGTTACCGTGACTACAGAGTCTGGTACGGTTTGTTACCGTGACTACTGAGTATGTTACGTTTTGTTACCATGACTACAGAGTATGGTACGTTTTGTTACCATGACTACACAGTGTGGTACGTTTTGTTACCATGACTACAGAGTATGGTACATTTTGTTACCATGACTACAGAGTATGGTACATTTTGTTACCATGACTACAGGGTATGGTACGTTTTGTTACCATGACTACAGAGTGTGTTACGTTTGTTACCATGACTATGTACTGTATCTTTTTTTGTGTCTAAGAATGACTATAGTGGTGTCTTTATTACCGTGGATATCTTGTGTTTTACCAATGAGGTGAAATTTTATAACCTTGACTACGCAGTATGGTATATTTTTTTTTATTGTACTTTGTTGCTGTCCAAACTACTTTACCAACCGTGGTACCCTTACGTTGTTATGGCAAAACAGTGAAATTTGATAATGTGATAAAAGAAAGGACAAGATTACGAACATTAAAATGTCTTGAAATAACCAATAAATGAAAAAGTATGGCATTCTCCAAATTTAATATCCCAAAATCAGCGGCAATCTCCAGTTTCATGTATTTGTTAAACAATAATATACAGATAAAACACAAAAGGAAGTGATATGTAGCTTCAGAGAGGCACGTTTAAAAGGCTGTCAATCGTGTCTAAGCTGATATAGAAACCATTGTAATTAAATAGCAGCCTATACATAGTATAAAATAGTAACGATAACAAATTTAAGGTTTTAGCGTAGTCCTGTTATATGTCGAAAAACCGAATGTCAATTCAAATAATTTCCTCTAAACAGAAAAACAGTTTATTTTATTTATTTATTTATTTATCTATCTATTTTATGTATTTATTTACTTTTTATCTATTTCTGGTACATATTCCGACCTGATCAGTTGGTAGTAAATTTACAGGTCTCAAAACTGACCGATTCAATGTATATTCCTACTTATGTTGGTCTCAGTGCACTTATTACGACCTACATTCAGACAGACATACAATCGGCCAATTTTGTTTTGGCTAAGGTTAATCACCGAATCGAGGCAGTGAACCACTGACCTATAAGGGGCTTTAAAGTTTAATCAAAGCGATTCAGATGTTAGATAACCATGCGTTCTAAAGCAAACCATTATCCATGTGGCTGATTTATTTGTTATGTTCATGCAAGACAAGTTTTAAATAAAATCAGAAAGATTGACTCTTTGCTATCTATAAATCCTATCTACATAACGTGTTTCACAGTATATAAATATATATATACATAATACTAATTAAGACACGAGACCCATGGGTATAACTTTTGACGTCAGTATCATAACAATATCAAGTTTGCTGGCCAAGATCAGAGACACATTACAAAATGGCGAGTTATTCCCCCGGCTGAGGCTTCAATGTTTTTCTCGAGACATATTCACGATGAAAAAGGCTGAACCCGTTCAGTCCATTTTAAAAAATGGTGAATGTAAGATACAGCTTTTAAGCAAGCGTGAAGATGGCTGCTTTAATGCTGGGGGGAAAGTTGAAGCAATTGTGAGATTACAACTAGAAGAGCCGCTGGAAGTAAGAGGTAGGTGTTAGAAATATTCCTCTGTAAAAATTCCACGTACGAAAAAAGTTATATTAATATATAATGGAATGCATATAGCTTGTGTAGAAAACATCAGCATTATAATGTAGTATAATGATATTCCGGCCTCCTTGATCGCTTAATAATCCACCGGAGCCGTAGTGTTGAAATTCAAAACGTTGAAATCTAATGAAGCATTCAAAATATTGACTTTATATATAAAAATGGGTTTCGAGGGATATTTTATTTTTCATCTGCTAACATGACATACCTGATTGTTGTGAAAACTTCATGGATAGGTTAACCATCAACATAGTTTAAAACTTAATAATTGTCAAATATTAAAGCAAAGCAAACATCTCTCATACTAAAATGGTGAAAATATAGTAAAACCCCTAGAAGTAAGACACAGTAACACAGGAACCAAACTTAAGAACTGAAAAACTAGATAATGCAAGACTTTTTATAGTGTTGTATAATAAACGATCGAACCCATTAAATAGAAAATTAAGGTTCAGATATGTAAACTAGTGTTGTATAAAACGTAACGTGTTTTAATATTATACGTAATATGAATTATATGCAGACAATTTACATTTCTTGTTAATTAAATTCCTTTGGGTAGCGTTTTTCATTGATCACGACCGATCGTTCAATATCTGATAAAAGAAATACAAATATCTCACAAATAGTAATCTCCCAAATCATATACAGAGAGTGTAACTGACAGTTTTCGTTCAACCGTAAAAACTCAAAACTACATATTATGAAAAAAATAATAAATTGAAAACCAACTCATGATGGAGAAACAAAACAAAGTTTTATTTTCTAAAATATTTATCGTTTTTTGAACCATTGAAGATATCTGGTAAGTAACTCTTATTAAAATCCTTGTCATGTCACGTCCTCAATTAGGGAAATGAGATAGTGACAACGGATCGACAGTCATATGCACGTAATCTCAAACGTTGAGCTGGCTATGGCACATGGAAGATCCTGAAAAGAAAAAGATGTTAGGCTATATCATCCTTCCTAGAGGCTGTCTTGAAGACTTTTAAGCTTTATGGAGAATCAGATTATGTCAACAATACATTAAATTCACCTCTGAAACTTAAACACTAGTCAATGTTCGAAAAGTTCTTTGATCAGCTAAGTTAGCATCGGCCTAAATCGACTAAGATATAATTTGTTTTAAAAATGGATGAACTGAATTGTTGAAATTTTGGTTTTCATACCAGGTTTGGTAGCCAAACTTCATGGTTATGCTAAGACTGACTGGAGAGAGTCTGTGGGTCCTAATAGTTTCAAACGAGGCGGGAGACAGGAAATAGTCAACTTAGAAAACAAACTGTTTATGGGTAAGTCAGCATACTTTGTATTCTTTTACACGCTTCAAATGTTATCCTGATAACATGTTAGTCGCAATGTACCACTCGGATAGAGAGAGGCCTGCTCTTTAGCGTCATACTAGTAAGCCATGGATTGCGGATTCGAAACCTAGCAGGACACTGGCAGAAATAATTACTTCTGTTACATTGGCGCCTATGCAGGGACCCGGGAATGTTGCGGTTTGCGCTACTTTCACAAACACCACTGTCACTCCTGGAATCTCGAAGACGAGTTATACCATAATATATTGCTAGTTGTAATATACCGCTCGGTTGGAGAAAACATCTCTTTATCTCGATCAGTTGAACGTCAGACTAGTAAACCAGGGGTCCTGGCTTCATTTAATACAGTGTTGTATTGATGTGTACCGTTTCGTTGTTTTCCTTTGACTATCAAGTCTAAGGGAGATAACCAGTACTGTCTAGTAGTTCTTGTCTTTATGTGAGATTCATAGCAGTAATATACCTTCTCTTTTATAATTGAATATGTTTATTTGGTCCCCTAAAATATCCGTAGAGACCAGAATTAACAAGATATTTCGCAAAGTAATATGATGTTTACCCAGCCATGAAACAAATCATTCAATGCAAAACGATATGAACGGAGTTTCTTATAAAATCCTTTACAAAATTTGGCCTTTGATCAAATCATTATAATCTCGTGATTTAGAGAACACTATCAGTGTGATTTGGTGACTAGGATAACCAAGATCTTAGGATAAATCAGACAGACGGACAGTTATGTAAACGTCAGACTGTGAAATGTTTTAGATTTTCACAAGGACAAAAAATGTATCATATGAAGTTTGACGGTCAAATATCATTTGAGAATATTCACAAGTCGTCAGAAAGCACGTGTACATCGTCTGACACAATAATAATGTGTAACCAACGCTTAAGGAACTCATGAATTAAGTCTTGCAGAGTAATCAATACTCTTGCCGTGTTTTTGCAATGACATGTTTCTTAAGGAGGGTGGGAAAGAGGTGTAACATACTGTTTGTTTATATATTCACAGCGATGTCCTCGGGTGTTAAGACCTACGGCATTGGTCCCCACGAGTTTCGTGTCAAGTTTGACCTCCCAAGAGATATCCCATCATCCTTCGAAGGGACAAATGGGTTCATTAGGTACATACTGTATGTTCTGGCAAGGACGGACGCAAAGACAGAAATGTTGGATCCGAAGAACGTCCATGTTATCTGTCCTTTAGATCTCAATATGGATCCTATCAACGGGGTAGGTAAACAAAAATCAATCAATTAATTTAATGAATAAATACATTTTAAAAAGGATAAAAAAATAATATCCCTAATAAGACCATTTTTGAGTTATCCCAATATGGTTATATAAAAAACTACAGGTTTTTGAGAGACTAATGAGAGTTGGCAGGTTCGAAATATCGAAAAATTATTCTGATTTCTTTCTAGTCCGCTGAATATTCATGTATTCAGGATAATAAATACATATAAAAGTAAATGCAACTGGTCAATGTATTGACAGATGCCTTGGAGCCGATCGGAGAGTAAAGATGTTGGATTATTCCCATGTATAGCGGGCAAAGTCAGCATGTCATTCCAGGTAGACAAGAGAGGGTACTGTCCAGGGGAGACAATCATGTTGTTTGGACAAATTCACAACAATTCAAAGATGATTATAACCGCAAGCAAGTGTTCGATTGTACAGGTTAGTCGTTGAAATAGTGTTTGTTTCCTTCAGTAAGAGGGTGTCTGTTGGCAAAAAGTAGATTAGTTGTACAAACATGAAGGTCCATCATACTTATTCAATCAAGCGTTTCTTCTGGTGAAATAATGAAAAATATCACTTTTATACATCGGAACAAGGAAGTAATATATCCATACATATCGGAATAATGTCTTAAATTGTAGTATGCCTTTAAGAGTGAATATGAAATTGTAACACCATCTATGTACCATTGATACCAACACAAAATATTTCACAATATCACATGACACTGTGTGTTGGCTTTTTATCAATAATAACTCAAAATTCTTCGATGTTAATAAGAAATCGACTCAAAATCGAGGAAACGACGGCAAAATTCAGAAAATAAAACAAATAAACGGAGACTAATAAAAACACAAAGGGATATACATGAGAACCATGTGTTTCTAGAGGTTAAGGGTTTAAGCTTCATCGACAAAACTAGCAACTGTTTGCATGTAAGTCTATCTCCTAAAACCTGGTTATATCACCTTCTTAAGCAAGAATCATGTTTATAAAAACAAAACAGTTATGGCGATGGTATCGACAAAGTTTGAATCCAAGTCTCACGGGTTTCCGTAATATATTTCTTAAATACATGAAATAATTACAAGGACATTTCATCTCATTTTTAGAGGTGTAATGTGACATCAAATGAAGAAATGAAATACTTCCAGACCGTGTTTCTCCACGTGTTTACTTAATATGTACTTGTGCATTGTAAAAGAGAGGCACGCCTCTCATGACCTGGTAGGTTCGCTAACAAGCTTTATAATGGACACTGACGTGGATGTGAATTACTGTCATCAGTAGTGATGTTTCATTTCTAACCGCCATCATGTCGCTGTACCGTATTTCAAGAACAGAAGTACGCATTTGAAATTTTGATAGTACAATTTACTTTGATTTTTAGAACTTGTTGAACCTCAAAGTGAGGTAAGCAAATAGGAAATCAGTGTAGATATTGTACAAATATTTTGAAATAGGTTATCTATGTGAAGTGGGAAATGTACCTGAATGCACAACTGTTCATTCTCCTATCTAGATAATATATGTGATGAATATTTCCCCAGCTATAAACAAAGGTCATATGTATCATGACTGACATAAAGATTTTACTGGATTTATCAAACAAAAAGCTCACGATGATAACTTTTTTACTCACAGAGGATTCGATACATGCAAGATAAATGGCATGACTATGTAGAAAAGAAGATCGTTGTGAGTGTCAAACACGACCCTACCCTACCAGGTTGTACTGACTCCTGGAACGGCGAGGAGCTGAAGATACCTCCTGACATCACCACCAATCTTGATAACTGCAAGCTTATACAAGTCAAGTACATTCTGAAGGTAAGTCAAGTACACTCTGAAGGTAAGTCAAGTACACTCTGAAGGTAAGTCAAGTACATTCTGAAGGTAAGTCAAGTACAATCGGAAGTAAGTCAGGTACACTCGGAAGTAAGGCAGGTACACTCGGAAGGTAAATCAAGTATACTCTGAAGGTAAGTTAGGTACACTCGGAAGTAAGTCAAGTACACTTTGAAGGTAAGTCAAGTACATTCTGAAGTTAGTCAGGTACAGTCGGAAGTAAGTCAGGTACACTCTGAAGTTAGTCAGGTACACTTTGAAGTAAGTAAAGTATACTCGGAAGTAAGGCAGGTACACTCGGAAGGCAGGTACACTCGGAAGTAAGGCAGGTACACTCGGAAGTTAGTCAGGTACACTCGGAAGTAAGTCAGGTACACTCTGAAGTAAGTCAGGTACACTCGGAAGTAAGTCAGGTACTAAATCAGGTACACTCTGAAGTAAGTACACTTGGAAGTACACTCTGAAGGTCAAGTACACTCTGAAGGTACACACTCTGAAGGTAAGTCAAGTACACTCTGAAAGTAAGTCAAGTACACTCGGAAGTAAGGCAGGTACACTCGGAAGTAAGTCAGGTACACTCTGAAGTAAGTCAAGTACACTCTGAAGGTAAGTCAAGTACACTCTGAAGGTAAGTCAAGTACACTCTGAAAGTAAGTCAAGTACACTCGGAAGTAAGTCAGGTACACTCTGAGGTTAGTCAGGTGCACTCGGAAGTAAGTAAGGTACACTCGGAAGTAAGTAAAGTATACTCTGAAGTAAGTCAGGTACACTCTGAAGTTAGTCAGGTACACTCGGAAGTAAGTCAGGTACACTCTGAAGTAAGTCAGGTACAATCGGAAGTAAGTCAGGTACACTCTGAAGTAAGTCAGGTACACTCGGAAGTAAGGCAGGTACACTCGGAAGTAAGTCAGGTACACTCTGAAGGTACACTCTGAAGGTAAGTCAAGTACACTCTGAAAGTAAGTCAAGTACACTCGGAAGTAAGTCAGGTACACTCTGAAGCTAGTCAGGTACACTCGGAAGTAAGTCAGGTACACTCGGAAGTAAGTAAAGTATACTCTGAAGGAAGTCAGGTACACTCTGAAGTTAGTCAGGTACACTCGGAAGTAAGGCAGGTACACTCGGAAGTAAGGCAGGTACACTCGGAAGTAAGTAAAGTATACTCGGAAGTAAGGCAGGTACACTCGGAAGTAAGGCAGGTACACTCGGAAGTAAGTCAGGTACACTCTGAAGTAAGTCAGGTACACTCTGAAGTAAGTCAGGTACACTCGGAAGTAAGTCAGGTACACTCTGAAGTAAGTCAGGTATACTCTAAAGGTAAGTCAGGTACACTCGGATGGTAAGTCATGTACACTCTGATAGTAACCCAGGTACGCTCTAAGCTAAGTCAAGTGAACTCTGAAGCTAAGTCAGGTAGACTCCGAAGATGAGGAATATACTCTGCTAATGAACTTCCTCGATGTCTACCATAACCCTGCTTATCCTGTTTCAATTCGTAAGAGCTGTGGCATCGTTGACCATTCTTTTGAAATAATCTTATATTGAAATTACTAAATATTTGAGGCATTGCACATCCTCTAATAATGCTAATAATCCCCCAATGCTGACTTCCCCAAATCCCCTAATACCAACACTTTAAATTCGTAGTATCAATTACAGGCAATAAAATAACAATAAAAATGGCTTGTTGTAGCTGAATTCAGTATTTGGCATTGGTGTGTCAAAAATTTTACAAAATTTGTATTTAAGGTGCGAGTAACTTACGCGTTATCATTAATTGTATCGTGGTTATAGTGTATCGACTAGTGTGAATTATAAACATATTCTCATTTACAGGTTGAGGTGAAATTGAGGTTTGCTAAAACCTATGAGCTACTAAATGTTATTTTAAGGATGGGGAACATTCCAGCAACAAAAGCGTCCAGAAGTGAGTATTAAGGTGGAGTTATTGTTTACATCATCTTCATGAACATATTCTGTTTCAATATGTCAGACAGGCGCAGTTGAGATCACAACTACTAATTCAATAGAATTAGCACTGTCCACTATTACCGCTAATATAATGATTATCATGATCTTCTTCATCATTGTTATCTGACTCAATGCCTTGGGACATTCGTGTGAAATCAAATTTCATTATAAATAAGCAAAGGTGAAATAGGTTGGTAGCGTCACTTGCAAAAGGTAAAATAAAAAAGGATGCGGTATGCTTTATAATGAATAATTGTGAAATTTGCATTGGAAATTAATCAAGTTAGTTACTTACGGTTCTTTTATTCATATTTTTCCTGGTTTTATTGAATCTGAGATCAATATTCTGTTAATATGTCGGTATTTTCTTTGATGTATACGAATCGAAGATTTTGTCGACTTAACGTTAAATCATCAGTTCATATGTTCCTATATGTTTCACATTAAATATCTTTGTCCATGGTAACTGTAAGAAAATTGTTTTTGTTCGTGCAGCACCGTTCAAATTTCCCTGATTGGATGCTGTCAACATGATGACGTCACCGTTCCAGTGCTGAGTGGGATGTCCCGTCAAAGGATTGATCTTTTCAATCCAACATTTTGAGGTTCTCATTGTCATAAAGTGAAAGTATTGAAACGGTTTCATAGTGTGTTCAGTGAAACACCTCTCGACATTGTTAGAAAATTCCTCACAGGACTTAACCGTGCAATTTACCATTGTTACATCGTTAATTATAGCGCCAATGCTTTATTTTATATATTTTGTTTATTGTTTGTAATTATCAAATTCACAGTCTTTTTTTCTTTTATTAGCATTTGCCAATTTTGTTCGGATATGCTTGGTCGCGTAGACATGCTTACTTTTACAGAAAGTAAGCGCCCATATAGCGATATAATTGTAAAAAAAAGAAGATATTTCCTCAAAACTGTCATTGTGAATGCTTCGTTGTGTATTTATGTATGTATGTATGTATGTATGTATGTATGTATGTATGTATGTATGTATGTATGTATGTATGTATGTATGTATGTATGTATGTATGTATGTATGTATGTATGTATGTATCTATACAGTTTGATCACTTACAGACTCGGCATTGATATACATATTCTAGGTGGTATGTATGTATGTATGTATGTATACAGTTTAATTACTTACAGACTCGGCATTGATATATTTATTCTGGGTGTTATCATCTCATTAAAAAGCTATATAGACAATCGAAACATTTTCTCTTTTCAGATTTTTTTTTTTTTCTGTTTGTTTTGTTTGTGCTTTTTCTTGTCTTGAAAATTCTGTTCTGAAGGTAACACCATTGTTCTGTGTACTTATTGAACCTGTAGAAGTAGATCATCTTCCAGAACGCTTTCTTGAAATGCTGTTGGACAGGTGTGTCTTTGGTGTTATCTATGTAATATCGTATTTTATTTTTCAGTTTGTGTCTTGACATATTTCATTTTGACGTAAATGTTTTTGTTATGTATTTTTCTGCACGATGACTTTGAAATTCGAACCGCTGTCAGATGCATCTGATCAGAGGGAAAATTTCTGTTTACTAATCGTTGTTGAGTATTGAGTGTTTATTGATAATTTGATGCATGCCTCCAGCAATCAAGTTCAACCACATGATTATGGTTCACTGTAAATACCAAAGTTCACCAGGTCTCTCGTTATGTTTGATGATAATAAACAGAAAAATGTAATACGAATTGTAGTACTTAGTTTTTATTATATTGAAATAAAACTATCTCAAAATAGACGATACATATCTCATGTCTCCCGTCACGATGTCTCCCGTTACAATGTCTCCTGTCACGATGTCTCCTGTCACGATGTCACTTGTCACGATGTCTCCCGTCACGATGTCTCCCTTCACGATGTCACTCGTCTTGATGTATCCCGTCATGTTTCCATCAAAAGTTTTTGTTATGTTGTCAGTCGCCATGTTGTCGTCACCCGTTGTGTTTCTCGGCACACGCTTTTACTATGTCGTCTCATGATTTATGTTCTCATGTAGAATAGATAATCTCCTATTCACGACAAAAGTCTTTTTTTTCAAAATTTTACCTGGTACTGATAAAGAAAGTCATTCAGACACTCTCTTACTCTCATTTACACTAGGCTCTTGCATCATCATCATCATCATCATCATCATCATCATCATCATCATTATTCATAGACCAACATCAAGTTACCATCCTTTTCTTTGTCTTCATCATCATAACAATCATTGTTCATTCATCATCCTCATGACAACCATCTTTTTTCTGAAATGTACATATACTTACACATTTTTACTCACTTGCACCCATGCTGCAGAGAGAGGGGGAGGGAGAGAGAGACGAAATGATAAATAACATTAGGTAGACAGAGAGTGTAGGCTAAAGTCAACGTCATGGCGAACATCGATATGGATATAAAACTGTACAAATGTCCAAAATATTAATTTAATTTGAGAGTATAAATAAAGATATGTACAATTTCTATGACAGTCTAAAATTCTAGAATAGGTTTCCATTTTCTCCAGCCAATCTCAAGCTATTGTTTAGTGTGCTCACCTTTGTTACTATAAATATATTTGTGTGTTAGGTGATGAACTTAATGGAATTGATTAGTGTATTGGTTTAAAAGTCTTTTTTTAATGTCTTTAAAATCTCATGAACTAACGCGGTGAAGTGTACCTAGTTTTTTTACAACGAATGTATAAAGAAGTTATTTTAAGAGCTCGGATATAATACTTTGACGTTCTTTCATCATTACACAGGTAAAACTGAAAATTCATTCGGTCACTAGAAACCTTCTAATTATCTTTTCTTTATGTGCTAAGTTACACCTAATGAATAAAGTCCCTCAGTGAACTGTTCATAATTCTTTGTCTGTTGCGCACAAATCTGAGAAAAATTATGAAAATAAACGCTCCCTTATCAGTACTGAAATATGACATACCTAGTTTCAATAAAAACTGAATCGAGACTAAAATCCTGGTAATTTAATAATAATTTCAAATGAAATCCGACATTAATCTTGCATTTTCTTTTTAATGCGTGTGAGTATAAAATTTCTCATCACGTAGCAGTCTTATTTTCTGTACCTATAAATCAACCAGGTAAAAGATGAGGCTAAGGACAACCATTAATACACTTCTGTTTATATAACTCAGTGTATATTAAAATTCTGATATATATCGCAAAATTACTTATAAAATGGCCAGAATTTCACAAAGAAAAATAATAATAATGAACGAATTTTCAAGCATTCGAAAGGAATTTCTTAATCAGAAAAAAGCAACAGTATGAAGAGCAGTATATAAAGAAATGTTATTCAGTGAGGTGACATCAGGTGACATCAGGTGACATCAGATGACATCAGGTGACATCAGATGACATCAGGTGACATCAGGTGACATCAGGTGACATCAGATACTATATTACAGATAGGTCGGTATGTAACTGCATATAGTAATGTCGTTCAGTGAGGTGACATCAGGTGACATCAGGCGACATCAGATGACATCAGGTGACATCAGGTGACATCAGGTGACATCAGGCGACATCAGGTGACATCAGGTGACATCAGGTGACATCAGGCGACATCAGGTGACATCAGATACTATATTACAGATAGGTCGGTATGTAACTGTATATAGTAATGTTGTTCAGTGATATGACATCAGGTGACATCAGATACTATATTACAGATAGGTCGGTATGTAACAATATATAGTAATGTCGTTCAGTGAGGTGACATCAGGTGACATCAGATACTATATTACAGATAGGTCGGTATGTAACTGTATATAGTAATGTCGTTCAGTGAGTTGACATCAGGTGACATCAGATACTATATTACAGATAGGTCGGTATGTAACTGTATATAGTAATGTCGTTCAGTGAGGTGACATCAGGTGACATCAGATACTATATTACAGATAGGTCGGTATGTAACTGTATATAGTAATGTCGTTCAGTGAGGTGACATCAGCTGACATCAACTACATTAGTACAAGTATATTCCGCCCTGACTAGTCACTGGGTGAGAAATCCGCCAAATAAACTACCTATTACCAAATAAACATGATCCTTATTCACAGAAAAATCGCTGATGTCCTGGATAATAAAAAAATATATCTGAAATTGACAATATATAATAAAATTGTCACTGTAAATCGAAAACTGAAATATGCCTATAACATAACAAAGAACACTTTGCACGTGGTATATTATTCTACATAAAAGTGACATGTATGTAAAATATTCACTACAAAACTATAGATTGTTATAGAAACAAACATAAAATAGGTGTCATAACAACATTATTAAATATGTCTCCCCAATTCTAAGATAAGACTTTATCATAAATGTATATACAAGGCAGAAAGTACCGGTGTAGCATGGTATTGTGAAAAATTGGGGAAAAACCTGGGGCAAAAATGCCCTGTTCACGCTAAATTTTCCCATCCCAGACATATTTTTGTGGTTATTTATGTGTTGATATGATTGAATCAGGGGGATTAGGACAAAAAATTATACTTCACCGGTACATGTGTAATATGAAAGTTAAGCTCCTTTCTGTTTCTGTCCATATGGTGGTATATCAACTTGGAAGAAAACCATTAACCGAGGGCTAACATCATATTGACCTCATCAAAAGTTAATGATTGATAATGTTTGGTGTTCAGTCTACACGTAACCAGTGTTTGTTTGAAATTGAATCACCCGTTTCACCGAGACAGATGCAAGTTCACATCAAGTTTGTAACGACCTTCAAACTATCGAGGTCTGTGATTAATTGTCCCAGTAATACGTTCGAACATAAATATAAGCATTTAGTGTGTAAGAAATTACTGCAATTCAACGCAATTAACATCTTGAAAATAACCATACTAATTATACAACTATGACTAAGTAAGCCTACATGCTGAGTTACATCGTTGTGACAAATCTGAATTAGGTTTA